CGCCAGGTGCCTGGCGCCCACCCCCCACCTGCACCCATCCGCGCCCCCGTCAGAGGCCCCAGCCTCAGGGCACCCCTAGAGCTGGCCCTGGTCGAGCCCACGGCCGCCTGACCTCTGACCAGCCCCGACCCCAGCTGGGCCGTCTCCCAGTGGACCAGGACCGGCGAACGGGATGCACGGCCGCGGGGCGCTTCCGGGCCTTGAGGGCCGCGCCCCGGAGAGCCGTTGGGAGCAGAGGGGAGATCAAGACCCCGCTCCTGCCCCAAGCGGCTCTGGGAGGGGGCAAGTCTCCGGTGATGGGGGCACAGAGGTCCTGCTCGCGTGCCCCAGCTTACCTGGTGCCCTTGGCCGAGGGCAGTTATGGTTCCACTGCCCACCTGGAGACTTCCTGCCCCTCACCTGCTAGTGATGGTAAGACTGGGACATGAACAATAATGCAGAATGATGCTATAGCATCCTTTCATCCTGATGACCAGGCAGGTGTCTTATGTCACCTGGTGCAGAGGAAGAAATGCAGGCACAGAGAAGGCAGGAACTGACCCAAGGTTTCCCAGCCTGCACCTGGCAGGTCCAGGACTGAAAGCGTGCTCTCCAGAGTCCAGCTCTCCCGAAGGCCTTTCTCCACACTGCCTTACCTGTCCTTTTCTGCTCAGCACCCAGCACACACTGGCTCCCGCCCCCCAGTTCCATCCCTCAGGGCTGTCTGACACCACCCTGCCCTCTCCTCAGGCCTCAAGACTGGGCCAAGCTCCCCACTTGAGTGAGAATCATCATGTGAAAACACAACCATGATCCTGCTCTGGCTCCCCAGTGCCCCCTACACAAACCCCATGACCCTTGAGGCCCTGGATGCCTTGATCCTGTCCACTCCCCCCATTGTGGCCAAATTACAGCTCCCCCGACCCCCATGCAGTACCCTCTGGACCTTTGCCCAGGCTCTTCCCTCTGGAACCCTGCCTGGAACAGCCTCTCTCCTCTCAGGAGCCCGCTCTTCCAGGAAGCCTTCCAGGGAAGACTGGAACTGGAGAGGCCTTGCAAGCCAGTGTCCCCAGGGCAGAGGAGACCTGGGTGAGGGGGTGCCAGCCTTCAGGGTTTGGGGCCCATCGAGGCCCAGGCTGCCCACCCTTCCAAGCCAATGAGAAGGCGGGTTCCCAAATCCTGCCCCTAGGCCATGGTGGGCACCTTGTGGATGGTACAGGTGTGCCCAGCCCACCCGGGTCCTGCTGCATCCTGGGTGAAGGCCCCGAGGACCAACCTGAGTAGCCCTCCGGCACTTGGAGTCAGGCCCCGCAGGCGCGGAGGATGCCAGGAGAGCCGTCCAGGGCCCACCTGAGGACGTGGGGCTGGCACTCGGGTCACAGACAGGTGCCTCTGGACAAAAGGGGCAGGTGGGTGGAGAGGTGCCCTGGCTAGTGCCAAGGCAGCCCAGGCCAGCCGGCAGGTTCGTGAGGAGACGCCTCCCACAGGTGTGCGGCTGCCAGAGGCAGGTGTGTGGAAAGGTGGCTCTGAAAGGGGCATGTCAGAAACAGGAAGTGGGCCCAGCAGCGCGTGTGGAGATGAGGTGGGCGGTGCGCAGCCCCAGGTGGGGCTGGCAGTCCAGGCAGGTGGGTGGGGAGGCGTGGCCTGCACGGAGGTGTGAGCAGGAAGGGGCGCGCCCTGGCTCCGGCCCCAGAGAGCTGCCCAGGCGCCCACTGCCGCCAGCCGCTTCCCTGCGCGGGGACGCGCTGCCCCCTGCCGGAGGCACGGGGCTTGGGGACCCAGGAGCCCGGGCCCATCCTGGCTGCGCCGGCTCCGAGCCCCTCTGGACTGAGACGCCGCGCTCCCTGTGCGGGCGCCGGGTCAGCCTGAGCGCCCAGCCAAGGCCGCCTCCTCCAGGAAGCCCTCCGACCAGTGGGCTCCCAGGCCCCCTCATGACAATCGGGTCAGAATACAGAACCAGTTCAAATCCTGCCCCTTTTAAACCGAGACCGAGGGCAATTAGCTAATCTCTCAGTCTCAGTCAGCCCATCTGCAATCCGATCCCACAGAACTATCATGGAGATCGCAAGAGCTTCTGTCTGCCACCCGTCTGGCACAGGTGAGCCCCGGGAAGTATTAATCTGCTCTTCATACGATCATCCTTCAACCGGGAGAGGTTGAGCCCTGGCTCTGCACGAGGCTGTCTGAGGGGCTGGAGATGTGGGGTTCAGCGAGTGTGTTGGGGGGCCTGGAGCTGGTGGATTGAATGAAGAACATGCAGATGACGACCTGATGAATGAAGTGCAAAAGCCACCCACACGGGTCGGCAGGTAGATGAGCCCCCACTTCGGGGAAGTGACACCCATGGGATCGTTTTGGTTGAAGGTGCAGTTTCCAAACACGCACACAGAGGAAGCAGAGTCACAAGATTTATTACTTACAGATCCCAGAACAGAGGGGACGGGGGGCAATGAGCCGGGGGAAGGGCAGTCCTCCATCCCAGGTGACCAGCCAGCAGGAGACAGAGAGCAGGAGAGCAAGCACTGACCACTTACAAGGTGTCTGGGGTGGAGGTCACTAACTTTTTGAGAGCTGAACTCTGAGTGGTCATTTTAAAAGGTGCCCCAGGAAAAACGAAGGGGGACTTGGGGCAGGCATCCTAAGCTCAAGTCCTTCTCTAAACATCCAGACTTGGTGTGAGCAGGTTATCATACTCTGAAATGCCGAGGCAGCGACTCTGAATGGCTGTTTTCTCGTCACAGCAAGAACGTGGCCCCAGCCCTCACAGAGATGGCACCTTAGTAGCAGGTATAGGGACTGACGAGAAATGCTGGGCAGGGAATCAAAACTGGCTGATGCACACACTTCTGCTCCTGCTCCAGATGAAGTAACAGGGACCAGATTTACACACTCTCACCTGAAACAGGAAAAAAAAAAAAAAAAAAAGCAGAGACTAATATATGTGAAAAACGGTACCCAAGACACTGGGCAGCACACAACGAAGGACAGAGATCCCTGAGAGAAGGGAAACAAATGAGGGGAGCCCTACGACTGTCCACGCTCCCTGCCTGGAGGGAGCTTCCAGGGTGTGGTACAGGGAGCCAGGACCCAGGCAGAGCCCCAAGGCCTCCCTCAGTTGAGGGGACACACGGGGGAGTCCCGGGAGGCCAAGGCGGCTAGAGTTCGCAAAGCAGAGTCCTAGAGAGGAGAGAGCTGAGCAGAGAGGGAAGCCCTGAGATCCGCAGAGGGTCCTCCTCAAGGCTTCACCGAGTACAGATGGATACAAATGTGAGAAGAAACCACTCCCAGCTGGGAGGGTGAGGGCCCACACGGGGCGGGAAGACTGCCCGTGTCTGAGAGCCAGAGTCAAGAACCTCGTAATTCAAGGGACATTGGTTAGAGTAGAGAGAAGGGTCTCGCCTCAGTAGCAGGGAAAAATCAACCCTAGACTAAGTGTAGCACTGGTCCTGCCCAGCAAAGCTTAAAAGAAGACCCAAAAGGGTCACACAGTTTCCAGGTAATTTAACTGCATCCCAGAAACAAATGCAAGAATATTTCTAGGAATACAAACCTCTCCAGCACCCAACAGGGTAGAACACACAATGTTTGACATCTGACCAAAAATTATTGGGCATGAAAAGGAGCAGGAAATTATAACCCACACTGAGGGGGAAAAATCAACCAAAACTAACCCAGAAATGACAAAGATGACAATTAGTAGATGAGAACATCACACACACTTACTGTGACTATATTTCATATGTTCAAGATGCTACAGGAAAGACTGAATATGTTAAGTAAAGACATGGAATATTTTTTTAAAGCCTCAAATTGAATTTCTAAGATGGAAATTACAATTTCTGAGATAAAGAATACATTAAATGGGATTAATAGAACATTGCAAAAGAAAAGATCAGTGAACCAAGACACAGCAATAGAAACTGCCCAAATCCGAGAGAAAAATGACTGAAAACCATGAATGAAGCAGCAGTGATTGTGGACCGACTTTAAGTGGTGAAATACAGTGGAATTGGAGGCCCTGAAGGAAAGGAGACAGGGGTGGAAAAGAAAAAAATACTTTAAGAAAAATGGCCAGAATTTTTCCAAATGTAATGAAAAACATAAACCCACAGTTCCCAAAAGCTCAACAAAACTTAAGCGCAAGAAACATGAACAAAACTACACCAAGGCACATCCGGCATTTTCAAAAATGCTGAAAACCAGTTATAAAGAGAATAGCTTAAAAGCATCCAGAGTAAAAAAAATTTTGTATACAGAAACAAAGAAAAGAATGTTTTGTTGATGTCTTGTTGAATGAAAACAATGCAAGCAAAAAGACAGGGGAGCAGTATCCTTAAAATACTGAGAAAAGAAAACCTGTCATCCTGTATTCTTTTCTAGCAAAAATCGCTTGGGGAAAAAAGTGAAATAAGGACTTTTTCAGACATAAGC